CCTGATGAAGACTGGCGCGGTGACCCCGAGTGTTCCGTCAAAAACGCCTTTTCCCCGCCTGCTTGCCCTTGGATGACCCAGGCTGGGGGGGGCAGGCTGAGACTGCCTCTGAGGGCATCTCTTATAGTCCCACTGCTTCTTATGGGAGGCCTCGTACTTCAGGAGGGCGGCCTGGGCGGGAGTCTGCCGCGGCTTGAAATTAGGTTTTGCTGGAGCCAGGACATAGAGGCCCAGAGTCTGGAGGGTCATGCGGGAATCTTTCATACCATGCAGCCTTGTATCTGTTTCCTCTGCAAACAGAGATTTCTCATCAAACAGGAGATCCTGCATGGAAGACTCTGCTTCACTGGACAGCCCACAGAGTAGGAGCCACGCCGCCCATCTCATGGATACCGTGGAGGCCACTGATCGTGCTGCCGTGTCCGCAGCTTCCAAAGCTGCCTGCAGGGATGCCCTAGCAGCTGCTGTCCCTTCCTCCACTAGTGCCTTAAACGCCTTCCTATCACGCTCCAGGAGGGAGTCCTCAAACTTAGGCAGGGAGCCCCACAGATTGAATTCGTACCGGCCCAGGAGAGCCTGATGGTTCACCATTCGTAACTGGAAGCTCGAAGATGAATAAATTTTCCTTCCGAAAGAGTCCAGTCTCTGAGAGTCTTTGTTCTTTGAGGTCAGGGCTGGCTGACCGTGATGTTCCCTATGGTTGACCGACTCGACTACCAAGGAGTTGGGCGCCAGGTGGGTATACAAGTACTCGTGCCCTTTAGTAGGCACAAAGTACTTGCGTTCCACCTTTTTAGATATGGGGGCCAACGAGGTGGTATTTGCCACAGGGCATTTGAAATCTTAGGCACCCCTTCGTGGAGAGGCAAGGCCACCCTACCTGGTGCCGATGGGGACAACACGTTAAACTGGGAGTCTAGGTGCTCCTCCATCTCCTCTGCCTGGAGGTGTAGGTTCACTGCCATCCTCTTTAATAGTTCTTGGTGGGCCCTAGAGTCCTCCTGCGGGACATAGGGGGCGGAGCCACAATCTCCTCCTCCGGGCAGGGCAAAGAGGCCGGTGCAGTGCTCTGGGTGTCGGCTGGCACCGGAGGGTCCACCACCTGGTTGGACTCCGAGCACGGTGCCAACGATGTATGTCCCATCAACTCTTTCCTTGGGGGTCTGGAGAGGGAGGCCGACGGTGCTTCCGAAGCTCCAGCCATCGAGCAAGCGCCCACCGGTGGCTGTGCCTCAGGCCACGGTGCCGACTCGTACCATTCGGCCAGCCACGACGCTCGGTGCCACTGCACCTGCTGTGGCACTGGCAGGACCAACTGTCCGGGTTGGCCGGCCTGGCCCATCGAGGGATGGCTATGGATGGAGACTGGGCTGGCGTAAGATCCGCTGCTGTCCCTGGACCGTGAGGAGCGGCGGTGCCAGGATCTATGATGGCCACGGGACCGCAATCTCGAAGTGGAGGACTGGTACCGACGGTAATAGCTGCTCCGCGAACTGCCTCTACAGGAGGAACCGCGACGGCGAGATGCCGGCGATGGACGCCCGGGGCTGCGATGTCTTGGTGGAGATTTGGAGTGGGAGGCCGAGTGGGAATTGCGTCGACGATCGTGTCATGACCAACTGTGGTACCCTCTCCGAGATGGGGACCGACGGCAACGCCTGCCATGGTCCCGTCAATATTCGCTCCTTGAGGACTAGCGGTGCCGAGAGTCCCGGATGGATGGAACCCAGCCAGACAGTCTGGTTGGCGTCGAGGGTGATCCACCTGGACTCTGCCCCGAGCAGTCGCTAGGCGGTGATCAGCGTTGCGAACATTCCCTCAACCGAGACTGGTACCGGGCCGGAGGTGGCTGCGGGGATCCCAGCAGCGGCTTGCCTCTGGAGTGCGGGGCTGACATCGGGGGTGCTCCAAGATGGACATGACGTCCCGGGCCGCCTGGAGGGCTTCAGGCATGGAAGGCATCTGGACATCTGGAGAGGCCTGTTCTGAAGGGGCCGGGCTACTCCACTCAGCTTGAGTCGGAGGCCTAGGGCACAGAGGGAATCGAGGACTGCCTGACATGGGCCTAGTCTCTGTCCCAGATTTCCCTCGGTGCTGCTGCGAGGAGGGAGTCTTCTTGGCCCTCTTGGTGTGCCGCATGGACAGGGAGCGGTGCCGACTGGTCGATGGTACCGGAGGGTCGCTGCATACCGACGCTGCAGTGCTGGGTACTGGTTCGGAGCGGCGTGCCAGGGTTGGGGTTAGCGCCGACTCCATCAGGATGGCCCGGAGCCTAATGTCCCTTTCTTTTTTGGTCCGAGGCTTAAACGACTTACAAATCTTGCACCTTTTGCTCATATGGGTTTCTCCCAAGCAGCGCAAACAGTCTGCATGCGGGTCGCTCGTTGGCATAGGATGCCTGCAAGAGCTGCACGACTTAAACCCCGAGGCGCAGGGCATGCCCTGGCCTGGGCTTACTGACTAATTAAATTAACTAAACAGCTAACTACAGGTACTAATGTTGAACGAATGAACAGTTCTGGGGACAAGCTACAGCAAAGCAGGAGCAGAGCAGTTCCGACGCACCTTCACTGGCGGCAAGAAGGAACTGAGGGTGGGGGGAACACGCAGCTCCCCTTATACCCTGCCAGGCAGGCGCCACTCTAGGGGTTGTGGGGGGCGCTCCCCTCTACAGGTACTGCTAGGGGAAATACTTCCGCCACCAGTGCACGTGGTGAGCATGCACACCTATTGTGGAATACACATGAGCAATCACTCGAAGAAGAACCCCTTCTTCCACCCTCCCTGGAGGTAAGGGGGGGATAGAGACATTGTAAATCCTAAGGCAAGGGCATGCAATCCACAGGAACCTGGAGGTGGGCTGAAGACGCTTTATTTTGTTGGACTCTGTTACCCCGTAAGGGGGCGGACTCGACTGGTGACCTGGCCAGAGGGCTGAGTTGCTACCTACCAAATGCCACAGAGAAGGAGTGATTGCTGGTAGGGGACATTGAAGATGGGGGAGAGCTGGGAGCCAGTGACCTAACCATTAGGTGGCACCACTGGTAAGCCCAGACTCCTCACACCTGTTCTATTATGAATTAACTAGCAATCAGTTTAGTTCTATGGAATTAGCTTATCATCAGATACCATCTCACATTTTAAAACAGTAAAGGTAATCATAAAGCAGGGAGGATGGGGTTAGATTGCATTTAGCTGATATTGTTGGAGACTTCAGATATAAGAAACTGGGGTACAAAATCCATAGAGGAATTATAATGGGGCACTCAAGCCTCCATGCAAGGCAGGAAGAGGTTAATCAGTTACTGAAAGCCCAATTGGTCTAAACTGAGAAACCTGGGGCAGGAGCTAGGTTTTCATAGAGGAGCGAAACAAAAGAAAGGAAAAAAAAAAAAAGGAGGGCCCAGCTCAGGAATAGGTTGAGAGAGTGTGAGAGAGAATAGAGCTAAAATTCAGAGGGATCTTGATAAATTGGAGAACTGGGCTAAACTATTAAATGGAATTCAACAAAGACAAAAGTAAGATGCTGCGCTTAGGGAAGAAAAATCAAATGCGCAAATACAGAATGGGGGAAAACTGGCTTTGCAGCAGTACATCTGAGAAAGATCTGGGAGTTGTGGTGGGTCACAACCTCAACATAAGTAGGACAATGGGTAGGCAGAGGGTTAGACTAGTTGAACCTTACGTTGACACAAATGTAAAAAATATGTGATTGCATCTACATTTTAAATTTAGCGTATGTCTTCAGCACAAATCTGCATTCCAACAACATTCCACCCACGTAGAGTTCTTTAAGAATATGTTAGGGCAGTATTATCAACCTTTACAGGCTGGCAACCCCTTATTCACAATCTCCTTACATTTGCTATAAGAGTAAAAAGAATATATCAGTGGTAATAATGATAATCCTGTACAATTATGTGTCTGTATTTCAAGAGGTTGATTGAAAATACTTGACATTGAAGGATATGGTTGTATGAGGAATGGGTGAGCGAGAATTTCTTTGCTTTACATTGTAATACATTTTTCAATGCTTCAAAACCCCTGATTGCCTTTCGTAGCCCATCTGGGGGTCGTGACCCATTGGTTGAGAAACGCTGGGTTAGGAGATGGATTACATGAGCTTGGAGGTCTTTTTCATCCCTGTTATCCAACTTTGATACTTAGGAACTTTCCATGGAATTGTAAATGAGGTCTACAACTATTGCTTGAAAATATAATTACTGGAGAACCTCATAATAATACTGCATACATTAGGGGCAAAATCCTCCTCTTAAATTCATGACAAATTTTGATACCAATATTCTAATCTTCCTGGATCTGGAAAATCTCCCATTAAATGTCAATGGGGGATCAGTGCATGCAGAATAATACAGTTGAGAGTCATCATAAGGATCTGAGAGAGGAATTTTCTCCTTAGCTTTGCAACTCCTTCAAGGGGATGCTTTCAAGGTTAATTAACAAAAACCCCACAGCTCAATTTCTGTTCCTCATCTAATCAGCTTGCTTGAGTTGACATTTTCTAAACCACAGACGACAAAGATCCACTAACTACTGCTCTATGTAAAGGAGAAATATCACCTTACAATTAAAAAAAAAATCAAAGGCTAGTTAAATTAGATGGCAAGGATTTGAATTTATACCAACTGCAGCCCAGCACAAAACGTACTGTAATCTACAGACTATAGACAATCTAAAAAAATCATACATAACAGCATTTACTTCTTCAGGACCACAACATGGCAATATGTTATTTACAAGCAGCAGCTAACTCTTTTTGTTTAGCTTGCCACATGGATAATATTGAGTAGGGCTGGGATTTTAAAGGTGCACAAGTGAGTTGCATACCCAAGTCGCATAGAAAGACAATGGGATTTGGGCACCTAACTCTCTCAGGCTCCTTTGAAAAATCCCACCCTATTACAATGTTATTGGATTCCCGAAAGTTTAAATCAGTTACAGTCTCTCCCGCAAACAGTGATTTTTTACAGTCCTCCCACCTTTCTCATATAGGTCCTCCATGGCTCTCCAGGTTTCAGCTCGGACCTCACGATTACTTTTACCAGGAACTTGTGCATCGGGCCAGTGTACCAAATAAAGATCTAAAAGGGAAACACAATCAATTTGTGTTTATTTATATAAAAAAACCCCTCCAATGATGCAGCAGAGTAGTTGAATGGCATTCTTCAACGCTTAGCGATACAAACCACTCCTAATCTATTTCTATCAAAAGTTTATGACTATTACTAAGTGATCAGTAAGTATACTTCCTTTCTTGATTTCATAAACAACACCCTTTACTACTTTAGGCCCCAATCCTGCAAACATTTAATTAATTGATATTATTTGTATTGCAGTAGCATCTAGGAGCCCCAGTCATGGATCAGGGCTCTTACATACACATATGCGTGGTGCTAAACTTTGAACATGAGTAGCGCCATTGAAATCAAAGGGCAGTACTGTAATAAATATTATTCATAATAATAATGCTAAACCCACACCAACTCCAGTAGAAATTAACAAGATGCTGCAAGAATAGGATCAGATGGTTGCCTGAATATCTCAGAAGTGCTCAGCACCCTCAAGTCTGTGGGAGGTGAGGACGCTCAACACCACTGGAGGTGCATAGCACTTTCACAGGAGTGGGCCTTTGATGCCCACTGAAAGGAATACTACTGTTTATACATTTCTATGGGAAATTACAGTACAATCATTCCTTCATGCCATTGTGTACTAGATTTGTTTGCACCAGATCGGATACATAAAACTTATAGCCCAGCTCTTTCACCAAAAATGACACATTTCCAATATAATTTAAAAAAAGGAATAATTTATACATACTGACCAACATTTTCAAGCTTGGTTGCCTAAAGTCTGGCTGGTGAATCTGTATTTAAGAACCTAACTAGAAATGCCCTCAATTTCAAAGGTGATGAGCAAACTCAGCTCCCTCTGAAATCAATGAGCACTTGCATCTTTAGCACTTTTGAAAATGGAATTTGGAGTTGCTCAGTACCTTTGAAAATCAAGGTGTTTTTATTTAGATTCTTAAATATGGATTCAGGAGCCTAATTTCAGGCACCCAAATTTGAAAATGTTGGTCACCACCTTGTACTTTTAGTCCAGTGATACCCAGACAGCAGCTCATGAGCTGCAAGTGGCTCATTAATGTGTCTCCTGCGGATCTTTGCAGCACATGATATTAAAAAACAGTGTGATTTAATTATTAACCAATCAGGATGCTTTTACTATGTTATTAACCAATTAAGTTATCAACTTGCATTAATTTAACTTATTTGCTGTGATAATAATATATTCCCCTATCATACTGTTTAAATATGAATACTATAGTAAATGAAAACAATGAATTCACATTACTTTGGCTCTTTTGGGTAATGCTGACCTCTAATTTGGCTCCTGAAACACTGTGTATCACTGTTCTAGTCTAAAACACAAACAGGAAAAGGAAAGAAGTGATTGGCTGAGGTGTGCGTCATTCATAACCACAGACATTCTTATGTTTAAAATAGCTGTCTCTTGTTGCTAGTTGCTATCTAGCCTTGGTGAAGGAATGAGAAATTGCAACTCTTCACAGTGAAAGTATTTTTCAGAATACACCACAACAATCACTTACAATAACTGTTTGTGGAAACAAGACTCCTCTGGCCTATTTTTTTTTTAAATCTCTTAAAACTTAAGCCAAAGTATTGAGGATAGATGGCACACTGAGTTGGTACATTAGTCTTTAATTTCTAGGCAAGATAATTCAAAGATTGATTTAAGGGGACAAATACAAATAAGTTTGATGTTTTCATCCTGATCTTCATTTATCAGGGGGTAGCCGTGTTAGTCTGTATCCACAAAAACAACACGGAGTCTGGTGGCACCTTAAAGACTAACAGATTTATTTGGGCATGAGCTTTAATGGGTAAAAAACCCACTTCTTCAGATGTGTCTTCATTTGTGCACAATCTAGCAAAATTATCAAAACATGTGTGTCTGCTCTCGATAGGTATATGACTAGAATAACATAGGGTTTTGCATATTAGGACTAAGATGCATTGGCGGATGTATGTAGGGAAAGCTGCATACAAAACCATGAGCCAATACTTCAAATTCCTACTGAGGTGAGTAGTCCAACAGGCTTTCAAATAAGACTGCGTATATGAGTAAGGACTATATGTAAGGATTTGCAGAACTGGGATCTATTCCCCCATTCAGGGATAATGCTATTAGTTCTTTTTATGCATTTACTCCCAAATTTAGAAAAGGAATTTAAGAACTGTAAATAAAATCTTTAATTTAAACATACAAGACAATTGCCACAACTGAACAGGGACAAGTTATTAGTACAGTTAGGGGCTGACCTCATCTGAAAGAAGGAAATTATGCATCTCTAATTGCTATGTTCTCCAATACAGAATAATCAGGACTGCTTAGGAATGCCAAAAAAACATATGCAGGGAAAGCTCAATATAACCACTAACTGCAACAGTATTCTTGAAAAAGCCTGAATATCCAGTTATGCACCACAGTCTGTAAATGTTCATGAAAATAGCTGCTCTGCAGATTTTAACATACAAAGATGCTTTGTATTCAGCCCGAGAAATTGCAACACCCAGAGAAGAATGACTTTTAACAGCTTTGAGAACTGTAAGACCTCTGGCCTTGTAGATCTCAGAAATGCAGCACATTTATCCTTCCTTGTGTTAGTGTCTCAAAGACTTCTTCTGATACAAACAGGATTAGCTGTCTTTCAGGAACCTTTTATTTTAGAAGGGTGATGTTTCCACATGTGTGATGCCTATATCATATCATGATTTTATTTAAATAAAGATATTTCAGAAAGCCATAGGTGAACTTAAAATGAGTATAGTGTTGGCATGATAAAGCAATACTACTTGCAGATCTTCTCAGTCTGCAAATTCTTGGTGAAATTTACTTCAATTCAGAGATGAACAAGGCCATATTCATCAATTAAAACCTCTGCACTTAAGTGAATTTCAGCCTCTATGATTAAGTAAATGCAATCACAGCAAGCTTATTTTAAAAAGCAAAACATCAAAACGTACTCAGACATTGAGAAAAAAGTCTATAAAAGGCTATACCATACTGCAATGTTTGAAATATACTTTGAAAGGCAGATTGTGGCTACTTACATGATGGTGTACAAAGGGTGGTGAAGCATATAAGTAATCTTCTGCACCCTCCTTCTCTCCTTGTACAGGAACCAGCCCTTGAAGCCCTTTCTCCCCTAGGGCAAAATTCATCCCAAAGCAGAGCACTCATACAAAATCTTATGCTCTATTTAAGGGGCAATTCTGATCCTAAGGAAGTCAATGGCAAAAATCCCATTGACTTCAATAAGGCCTGGATGTGGCCACAGGAGATTAACTGGTACCCTGTGCTCTGGGATGAATATCACCAGCAAGTGCAAGAACCCTTCCAGACTGGTGCCGTTGACAAAGCTTGATATGTCAAAGGTGTGTGGATTGCCCTCGCTATACCAGAGAACAGAACTGAGCTGGAGAGGGAAGGAAGTGCATACTGTACCCTTTCAAAGAGCGGTGGTGCTGCTACTCCAGTTTAATCTTTTACAGTTTATTCAGCGATTATATTTCTTTAATAGTCATTGAAATGGAGATCTGATTATGATTTATGGCATAATCATTCTGAATGCTCACTTTATATTTATGTTTGATTACAAATATTTGCACTGTAAAAAACAAAGGAAATAGTATTTTTCAATTCACCTAATACAAGTACTGTAGTGCAGTCTCTTTATCATGAAAGTTGAACTTACAAATGTAGAATTATGTACAAAAAACTAACTGCACTCAAAAATAAAACAATGTAAAACGTTAAAGCCTACAAGTCCACTCCGTCCTACTTCAGCCAATCACTTAGACAAACAAGTTTGGTTACAATTTGCAGGAGATAATGCTGCCCACTTCTTGTTTACAATGTCACCTGAAAGTGAGAACAGGCGTTTGCATGGCACTGTTGTAGCCAGCGTCGCAAGATATTTATGTGCCAGATGCACTAAAGATTCATATGTCCCTTCATGCTTCAACCACCGTTCCAGAGGACATGCGTCCAAGCTGATGCTGAGTTCTGCTTGATAAAGATCCAAAGCAGAGAGGACGGACGCATGCTCATTTTCATCATCTGAGTCAGATGCCACCAGCAGAAGATTGATTTTCTTTTTTGGTGGTTTGGATTCTGTAGTTTCTGCATTGGAGTGTTGCTCTTTTTAGACTTCTGAAAGCATGCTCCACACCTTGTCCCTCTCAGATTTTGGAAGGCACTTCAGATTCTTAAACCTTGGGTGGTGTGCTGTAGCTGTCTTTTGAAATCTCACATTGGTACCTTCTTTGCGTTTTGCAAATCTGCTGTGAAAGTGTTCTTAAACCAACAGATGCTGAGTCATCATTCGAGACTGCTAACACATGAAATATATGGCAGAATGCAGGTAAAACAGAACAGGAGACAAGGAGTTCACTCACAAATTTAATTAACGTATTTTTTTTTTAACAAGCGTCATCAGCATGGAAGCATGTCCTCTGGAATGGTGGCCGAAGTATGAAGGGACATAGAAATGTTTAGCATATCTGGCATGTAACCTCCTTGCAATACTGGCTACAAAAGTGCCCTGCAAATGCCTGTTCTCCCTTTCAGGTGACATTGTAAATAAGAAGCAGGCAGCATTATCTCCTGTAAATGTAAACAAACTTGTTTGTCTCAGCGATTGGCTGAATAAGAAGTAGGACTGAGTGGACTTTAGGCTCTAAAGTTTTACATTGTTTTGTTTTCGATTGCAGTTATGTAACAAAAAAATCTACATTTGTAAGTTACACTTTCATGATAAAGAGATTGCACTACAGTACCTGTTTGAGGTGAATTGAAAAATACTATTTCTTTTATCATTTTTACAGTGCAAATATTTATAATAAAATATTATATAAATTGAGCACTGTACACTTTGTAGTCTATGTTGTAATAGAAATCAACATATTTGAAAATGTAGAAAAACATCCAAAAATATTTAATACATTTCAGTTGGTATTCTATTGTTTAATAGAGCGATTAATCATGGTTAATT